AGGCCGCGCTTTCACGCGGACGCTCGAATCGCTTTTGTGCCCTTCCGGCTGGATCCGCGGGAGGACCGGCCCATTATGCCACGCAACGCGCGCGTTTTGTTAACTTGGGGATGAAAGGGTCGTTAAAGGAGCCCTCCGGACTCGTTAGTCGGCCGTGCCTTCGGTGATTCTTCCGCAGAAAGAGGTGCGAGATGAGATCCGAAGCGATACTTGCTCCCTTTGTCGCGTAAATTACATGAAAAAATTTATTTATCGGGGAAAATTGCTCGTTAAAATGGTTTGCTCGAAATTTCTATCTCGGTCGCGTCTCTCTTGTGGGACGAAGATAAGGATGACGTGGACAAAGGCAGCGGAAGAGCGAAGAAAAAGCGACAGCACGATATCGGTATCATGATGGAATCGCGCGGTCCACTCTTAATTTCCGTCGCCTGGCGCTTATTTAAGCCGGAGGGAGTATCGCGAAAGAGCGAGAGAGCCGGAAGACGACAGCGAGGCATGGATAGGGACGAGAGGACGACGAGGGTTCCTGACTCGGAACGAGAAACTCACCCCCGCGCGGCCGGCTACGTGCTCTCGGGGTATTTGCACGCGCGAATACGCGGCTCTGATACACCGACGCGCATAATGCATGTGGTTATAGAGAGCGAGAAAGGAGGGCCAGAACGGTGAAGAAAAAGAGGGAGCTAACGGATAGAGGTAACTAGAGGGTGGCGGTGGAAGGGAGAGAAGCAGTAGATTAGGTGGGTACATCGCGCGACTGCGGCGAGGACGTTGGTATAGAATAGCAGATATAGGTGTACGAGAACTACCATCGTGTGGCACACCGGTTAGGAAGAGAGAGCGAGCGAGTAGTCGACGAGGCAAGCTAAAATGGGCGGTTGGAGAGGGGGATGACTGAGGAACGCGAGCCGAGGGGTGAGAAGGGTGGCGAGCAGGGAAGGACAGAGGGAAGCACGGGGTAGTAGAGTGAACGGGGTGTCGAGGGGGGTAGGCTATAAAGGCTAATTGGTTAAAAGCTCACCGCTGGCTGCAGGCTTAAATCAAGATCTTGGAGTGTTATAATGGATAAGTAACACGGCGAGGCACGGCCACCAGCCAGCGGAGTTGTGTGTTATCCCCACCCCTTGGTTGGCTCTGGCAGAGTAGGTAGGTTCGGTGAGGCAGCGCTACCACCCCCATTCCGC